CTTGTAATATGAGCACTCAGGTTAGGGATGGCGGTATAGACTTGTAATCCAGCAGTCAGGTTAGGGATGGCGGTGTAGACTTGTAATCCAGCAGTCAGGTTAGGGATGGCGGTGTAAACTGACTTGTAACCCCAGCAGTCAGAAAGCTGGGGTGCCAGTTTGAGGCAGCTCTGCATTACATGGTGAGTTTCAGCTAGCAAGCCTGGACTATAATGTGTAAACCTTCTGCTCAAAACATAAAATAAAGGGCTAGAGAGTTGGCTTCATAGTAAAAGTCCTTCCTGCTTTTCATAGTAAAAGTCCTTCCTGCTTTTCATAGTAAAAGTCCTTCCTGCTTTTCATAGTAAAAGTCCTGCCTGCTCAACCAGAAAAGCTCATTCCTGTTCCCATCACCCACGCTGGGTGGCTCACGACTATCTCAACCGCCTGTAATCAGCTCCAAAGGATCCGATACCCTCTGGCCTCTGCAGGCATGTAGCATGTATCAACACACACACAGACACACACAAAACAAATTTCTAAAAGAAAGAAAGAAAAGAGCAACAAGAGTTAAGATTCGGGCTGGAGAGATGGCTCAGAGGTTAAGAGCATTGCCTGCTCTTCCAAAGGTCCTGAGTTCAATTCCCAGCAACCACATGGTGGTTCACAACCATCTGTAATGAGGTCTGGTGCCCTCTTCTGGCCCGCAAACATACACACAGACAGAATATTGTTTACATAATAAATATATAAATAAACAAATAAATGTTTTTTTAAAAAAAAAAGGTTAAGATTCAGCAGTCCACTCCATGTCTGCAGCTGACACACTTTCATTCCCACCTGTTTCTACAGAACATCAAGGGAACATGCAACCCCACAAGGCCAGAGGCAGCTGCTTGTCCCAGGAGTCTCCTGTCAGAGGGTGCCTTTTCCCTCCTATACCATCTGCTATGGGCTCAGAACAGAGAGCCCTCGGGGAAACAAAGAGAAAAAAGGTAGGGGGAGTATACGTGTATGCGTGTGCCTGTGTGTGTATGTGTGTGCATATGTGTGTGCGTGTCTCTTTGTGCATGTGTGTTTGTGTAGACAAGTATGTATACGTGTGTGTGTCTTGTGCATGTGTGTGTGTTTGTGTAGACAAGTATGTATACGTGTGTGTGCACATGTGTGTATCTGTGTGTGCATGTGTCTGTGTGTGCAAATGCATGTTCATGTGTGTGTGTATGCACGTGTGTATGTCTGTGTGTGTTGAATCTCATTCTAGAAATTAAATAACTCGGAGGGATGTCTCTGAACTCACGAGGTGCAGTTGAGATGAGTGCTGTGGCAGTTTCCTGTTGGAAATTGGAGCGATTCGGCAGCCCCCCGCCACTCCTCAGAGCAGAGACAGGGAGTCTTTCTAAACACACAAGGGCAGTACTTACACCTGTGAGCGGCTTGTTCACCAGCAGTTACAAATGCTGGGGAAACTGAGTCTAGCTATGTTCACTCAGTTGACACTCAGTCACCTTTGCCAATGTAGGATAATTTGGTAAGCTTATGAACTTCTTTCAGAAGTCAAGAACAGGGCTGGAGGGATGGCTCAAGGGTTAAGAGCATTGGCTGTTCTTCCAGAGGTCCTGAGTTCGATTCCCAGCAGCCACACAGTGGCTCACAACCATCTGAAATGAGATCTGGCGCCCTCTTCTGACCTGCAGGCCTACATGCAGGCAGAATACTTTATACATAATAAATAAATAAATTTTTTTTAAATGTCAAAAAGAGGGCCAGCAAAACAGTGCAACTTTAAAGGACTCTTGCCACCAAGCCCGACAGCCTGACTCAATTCCCGGGACTCACGCGAAATTACACGTGGAACTACAGTGCTAACTCCCACAAATTGTCCTTTGACGTCCACACGCACAGTAACATTTACCCATCCACGTATAAAATCAATAAACAAGTGTGATAAAAAATTTTAGAAGTGAAAAACACCTTCTTCCTTAAGGTGACTCTGGCCAGAGACTAGAGCGATGTCTCAGCAGTTGAGAACCCTGACTACTGCCCTTCCACAGGATCAGGGTTCAATTCCAGCATCCACATAGCAGCTCACAACCGTCTTTAACTCCCGTTTCAGGGGCTCTGACACCTTCACACAGACACAAACGGAGGTAAACACCAATGCACACGAAACAAAACTAATAAGTCATTAAAAAAAAGAAAAGATGACTCTGGCGATCTCTGACCTGACCCTCCCTCACGATTCTGTACGGGACGTTGGCATTTGGGAAGCATCAGTGATAGATAAGACACATAGAAGAAACTCCAAAATGTTCTGCCCGTAGCTGCTGTGTGAAGTGGCCCTCTGAAGGTGTCTCTGAAGGACCGTAGCCAGTTCAGGCAGTGCTGACACCAGTAAGGGATGCTGTTTTCATTCTGCTCAGGACTGTCTGGGTGGTCCTGAGCCTGAGCCGTCTCCCGGGTTCCGTCGGGCCAGGAGTAAAGAGCAAACCTGAACTCCAGCATCACCACGGGATCACTATGCCTAGCCAGCCCTGCCCTGAGCCGGGCTCAGAGGAAAGGGATCCTTTGAGGCCCAGGCACTCGTTCAACACAGGAAAGCAACATGTTTCACTGTGTTAAAACCCTGTGTCAATTTCTAATTAGAATAAAGAAATTAAGGCTTGGCTTCTTCGGCCATCCCTCACACAAGAAGTCTGAGTTCCCACACGGCTTTCTCAATGCGACCCTTGTGAAACAGAACCCACAAGGTCCGTATTCAAAGCAGGGCCGTTGGTGGGCAGCACCTGTGCAGGGAGGGTCTCTAGGAACAGAGATCTTGTGTGTGTGTTTGGCTAATCATTTTATTAATGTTTCAAAATTATAAATATTACTCCACACAAATTGGATAGAATTTCCTTCCTCAATCAGTCCCAAACATGTAGGATGCTTGTGTGTGTTTCTGATTCCTGATTTTTTTTTTCCTTTTAAGCACTGGGGAAAAACAGAAAAATCTTTATTTTTTTTTTCTTCCTCTGAAAACTAGCACCTACACATCTCAAAGCAGTAAATTCATATGCTAAAAAGTTGCAAACAAAAAGTGAAGTGTTCTGCAATTTCTGAATGACTGGAACTGGAAGTAATATTATACATACGGTTGTAAGTGAGTGTGTGTGTGCACGCATGTGCGTGTGTGTATTTGAGGACAGGAAGTAGAAGCCAAGCCAAACGAGTCATTGAAGCTGGTATGATGACTCTCTAATTGTGTTCATGTGACAACATGATCAGAGGGTGAGATTTTTCCGCTAGGGGCCAAACTGAGTGTTAAACGCTAACAGGAAGAAATCCATTCTCTAGCAATTGTCTTAGATTCCAAGTGTGGCAGGGCAGGCCTGTAGCCTCACCATTCACGAGGTAAAGGCAGGAGAGTTGTGAGTTCAAAGCCAGCCTGGATTACACAGTGAAACCTTGTCTCGGGAAACAGAGTCTGGGAAGGCAACTCAGTAGTGAAGAATTTGTCTAACATGTACCAAGCTCCACCCTCATCAACACACACACATACACCACCACAGACACAGATACACCATACATACAGACATACCGTACAGCACACACAAACACCTCACACACACACATACATGCAGACTTACCACACACACACACATACTACACAAACCATATACACACATATCACCACCACACACACCATATATACAGACATACCACACACATACACACACACACACACACACACACACACACACTGCACAAGTCATAAAAACAATCCATATTTCAAACACTACTGTGACTACACATATTAATTCATTTATATCTCCCAACTTGGCAGCATGGGTGGTAAGACTTCTTCCTCTTATTTTAAGGAAGAAATTGAAACTTAGACGTTACCAAAGGGAGCTGGGAAAATCCTGTGGAGGATGAGGAGGAAAAGATTGTAGGAGCCAGCGAGGTCACGGATATCACAAGAAAATTCACAGAATCAACTAACCTGGGCTCATCAGAGTTCACAGAGACCGAACGGACAACCAGAGAGCCTGCACGGGACTGACCTAGGCCCTCTACATATATGTTACAATTGTGTAGCTTGGCCCCCTTGTGAGACACCTAACAGTGGGAATGGGGACTGTCTCTGACTCCACTGCCAGCTTTTGGGCCCCTATTCCTCCTACAGGATTGTCCCATCCAGTCTTAATAGGAGAGGAGGTGCCTAGTCTCACTGCAACATGTTATACCATGGCCGGCTGATATCCATGGGAAGTCAGCCCTTTTCTGAAGGGAAACAGAGGAGTCAATAGGCAGGACATGCACACACACACACATGACTGGGAGGAGAGGAAGAGGAAGGAGGGGAAACTTAGGGATGTAAAAACAAAACAAAACAAAAAGTTACTGAAAGACGTCCAGCAGTAGTGGTGCACACCTTTAATTAATCTCAGCACTCAGGAGGCAGAGGCAGGCAGATCTCTGTGAGTTCAAGGCCAGCCTGGTCTACAGAGTGATTCTAAGGTAACCAAGACTACACAGAGAAACCCTGTCTTGAAAAACAAAACAAGACAACAACAACAAAAAGAAGAAGAGGAGGAGGAGAGGAAGAAGTTGTTACCAAAGGGAACCAGTTCCATTCTGGGCCCCTTCTCTCTTCTCCCCTGAGGTTGAACAGTGTTCTGCTTCTTGTTCCCCTTGCTCATCCTCTTAACGTCAGTACGCAGAAGTCCCAGCCACGACACTTCAACCCACACCGTTCTCCCTGTCACAATAGAGACTATTTTTCTCTCAAAGGCTTTTATGGTAGGGAGAGGAAAGTTTGGGGCCGGCTGACTTTGAATTTACCGTTTGACTGTAGATGATCTCGAACTCCTGATCCTCCTGCCTCCACTTCCCATGGGCTAGAATTACAAGTGTGGATAAAACTCAGAAGAGTCAGGCAGGCCGTACATGCTTGGAGCTCCCTGGAGACATCAAAGCAACACACCCAACACACTCCAGAGCAATCAGCACCGGCTCCCAGCCCATCGATACCTTTGCTCTCTTAGCAGCTGTTTGTACAAGAAACGCAGTAAGATACAGTATCATTAGGTTCTCCGCAGGCAGCAGTAGTAAGATACGGTATCATTAGGTTCTCCGCAGGCAGCAGGCAGCACTTTTGAAACCGGTCACTTTGGTTTTGTGTTTAAACTTTCTCCAGGCGCCAAAGGCTCTGAAATTACCTCCTGTTTCAGAAGAACCACCCAGAGTCTTCAACCCCCTGAGGAGCCGTTTTAAAGCCAATGAACCCCCAATGGAGCTCTTCATTATCCCAATGGAGATTCATTTCCATGCCCCACAGGCCCCCAAAGAAAAGGCCTGCAGGAGAGGTAGGTCCCCTGCCGACGGCACTTCTGAGGAACTTGGTCAAGCCAGAAAGGGTTGGAAGTCGGGATCCCTGCCGGTCCAACCCTTCCAGAAGTGATGGCTGAGATGGCTGAGTTCGTCCTCAGGAAAAGAAAAAGCAAAGGAAAAGTAGCAAAATCCATACCCAATTCAATTGTATACGCTGAGCCTTTGAATAAGCAGTTCCTGCTTCTAAACTAGGAAAAGAAGACAGACAGATACATAAATAACCCCAGTGTGCCTTAGATAGTATAAACGTTCTGGCAGCTTACAAAAGAATTATGTAATACCAAAAAAGCAACTAAAAATGGAAATGCGGAGGGGGGGGTTGTCCTACTTAGGATTACTATGGCAAAACACCACCAGCAAAAGCAACTTGGAGAGGAAAGGGTTTCTATTGCTTACATGCCCAGTCACATTTCCTGCATTGAGGAAAGCAAGGCAGGGCAAACAGGGCAGCAACCTGGAGGCAGGCGCTGCTGCAGAGGCCATGGAGGAAGCTGCTTACTGACTTGCTCTCCATGGCTTGCTCAGTCTGATTTGTTACAGAACCCAGGACCAGCAGCCCAGGGATGGCATCACCCACCATGGGCTGGGCCCTCCCCCATCAATCACTAATAAAGAAAATGCCCTACAGCCGGATCTCATGGAGGCATCGTCTCAGTTGAGGTTCCTTCCTTTCAGATGACTCTAGCTTGGGTCAAGATGACATAAAACTACCCAGGACAGAAAGCTTGATTAAAAAGATCAGAGAGATGGGTATTATCAGACAACTTGGATGAAGTTAGGGCTTTAGGTAAACATTAGATTTATTTAACTGAATTTCCTCACAGCCAAACTAAAAGCAATTATTGGCTACTTGGACCTTCATTTTATAAAAAGAAAAATGTTGCCCAAAAGAGTCTTTATATGTAAATATATATATGTTTGTTTTTTGATTTTTCAAGACAGTGTTTCCCAGTAGCTGTGGAGCCAGTCCTGTATCTTGCTCTGTCGACCAGGCTGGCCTCAAACTCACAGAGATCCAACTGTCTCTGCCTCCCAAGGGCTGGGATTAAAGGCGTGCGCCGCCACCACCTGGCTAATACTTTTGATTTTTAAAATTATTTCATTATCTAAAATACAATCTCAACAGTCCCTGTCAGAAAAAGGCTTCTGTTCTTTCTAAGATCACCTCTGTGAGAACATCATCTAGCAGAACAGGTCCAGCTGAAGTAGGCACCTAGAGGAGTCACCACTCCCGTGCCGGCCCATGCCGCAGGGGAAATCCCCTAACTAAGCTGTTTAGCTGTGCCCGTGCTTAACAGGGATTCTTGCTCCTGGGACCTCGCTGGTCAGTTTGAGACAAAAGATAATCCCCATTTTAAGGGACTCAGAGCTTCTAGAAACTTCAACAGAAATTGCTTCTAATTTCTTATAGAGTATCGACTTCTGGAAATTTTACAGGAGATTGCTTTGTCGAATTTCTTGCAAGGGTAATGTGTCCCTCCTCAGCATCACCCAAAGATGGAGAGAGGAAGGGAAGGAGGAGACGATGAGGGGAGGGAGGGACAGTCTGGCTTGGGCTGTGGCCCTTCCCTGGAACCAATCACTGTGGCTAAGATAATGTAGTCCTCTTATAATTCAAGCTCAATCCCATGGTCAACCCTGGAGTCACAGAATGGACACAGATTTACCCAAATCCCATCGTGCAATCATATGGTCATCTTAGAGTCACAGAATGGACACAGATTTACCCAAATTCCATTGTGCAATCAATCTCATGGTCAACCTGGAGTCACGGAATGGACACAGATTTACCCAAACCCCATTGTGCAAGCAAGGAAGAGATGGGTCTCCACAAAGGCTCATGCCAGAAACAACTTACTTTTCTTTGCCTTCTAGATGCTCAGCACCCTGAATCTGATGCAGAACCAGAAGAAGCCACAACTTTGTGGCAGGCTCCCCTGAAGCGTCTGTACTTAGGAAGGCCAAGGGGGATAACTGTGCATCTCCCAGTGGCCAGTTGCCAGGACACACCCCCACCTCCAGGTAGTTCCTTTCTCCCTCCAGCATCCCAAAGGAACCTCACTCTAAAAGGAAGCAAGGCAAGACACAGGAGGGTCCTCCGCAGAGAGAAAGTCTCTCGGGGAGGTTAGTTCACCCCGCCTCTTGAAGACGACTGTTCCCCCCCCCCCCCCCGGCAGCCACTGCCTTAACCCATGAGCTTCAACAAAACTAACAGCATCATCTAGCTTGCAAATTACTTACTCGCTGAATCAGCCCTCCATAATATTTTCTGGTTACATATGTAAAACGGAGCTAAACTGACTGGAAATTTGCTGCGTGCTCCATTACTAACCCTGTTTTTTAAGCAATGAAATTTCATTTCTAATCTTTTATGAATATGTACCTACTTAAAAGTTTGAATTTAAAATGCTTAGAGATTAAAAGACCCTGAAAACAGGTAAAAACTAAATGCTACACATGGTCCTGAGTTGAATTTTGATTTGGGGAAACAAACAAACAAAAACCCATAGAGAATATTGTTGGTATAACTAGAAAACTCTGAATATGGATTTTATATTGGAAACCGTTTCTGCATTCATGCTAACTTTCTTGGATGTGATAACCACATTGTGGCTGAGAAAATACTGATTTTAAAAAGTCTTCACATTTTCACAATATATGATCATTCGAAGTTATGCACATGGGGCCAGGAGTGGCAGGCCACGCCTTTCATCCATCCCAGCACTTGGGAGGCAGAGGTAGGCATCAGTTCACGTTGAGTTCCCCTCTGTGCCAGGCTCTGTTCTGGTTTTTAACATGCACAGCAACTCTGCCTTTGTTTTACAGACCAGAAAACGGACACACCAAGAACCAAGTAACTTACCTGAGGCCACACAACTCCAAGTGGCCTTGCTGGGATTGGAGGTCAAGACCTCCCAGTGCTCAGTCCAGGTCTTGCCGTGACCTTACATTGCCCTTGAGAATAGACACAATGAAGAAGCTGGGGCAGGGTGTTCTTAAAAGGTATTATCAAAGCAGGGGGTTATTGAATCGTCTTCTTACGTAAATGTCAGCTTCTTTAGAGCTGGCGCAGGCAAGGACCGGCTTCTGCCACTTTCCGGTTCACAGTCAGAGCCACAGAGATGGAGGCAGTGTGCTGGATTTCACCTTTAGCCTTGCTCATCCATGGCCTAAGAAGTCTCTGACACATCCAAGGCCAGCCCCCAAAACAGTGACACCCCAACTCAGAAAAAAAAGGAGGTGCCACAGAGGCGAGCTTTTCCACACATTGTCCCCCACAGACCTGGTGCAGGGTATTGACAGCTGGTATGGGGGTCAAAGGCAGAACATTCCCATTCTCTTATTCAGCCCAAGAAGGTCTCCCCTCTAATATTGCGGAAGTGAAGCCAGCTTTTATGTCTTCACATATCTACATATACATATATTTTATTTCACTGTGGTACTATGTGGGCATAAGTTGCAGACATATACAGTCTGTCAGCAAAATATTTTCCCAGCCACAATGCAGTTATCACATCCAAGAAAGTTAGCATGAATGCAGAAACGGTTTCCAATATAAAATCCATATTTAGAATTTTCTAGTTATACCAACTAGGTTTTTGTTTGTTTGTTTCCCCAAATCAACATTCAACTCAGGATCATGTGTAGCATTTAGTTCTCACCTGTCTTCAGGGTCTTTTAACCTCTAAGAATTCTCTAGGCATGGTTTTGTCCTGTCCTGTGGATTGTTGTTGTTGCTGACATAGTTTAGTTTAAGTTTGGCTTGGTTTGAGATTTTGTTGTTGTTGCTTGTGGTGTTCTGTTTGTTTGTTTGGTTGGTTGGTTTGGTTTATCAAAACAGGGTTTCTCTGTGTAGCCCTGGCTGATCTGGAACTCGCTCTGTAGACCAAGCCAGCCTCAAACTCAAAGATCCACCTGCCTCTGCCTCCCAAGTGCTAGGATTAAAGATATGTACACCAATCACCACCAAACTTGGTTTGGTTTTTTGAGATGGAATCTCATATAGAAATACCGCCCAAGCTGTCTCCAAACTCACTGTGTATCTGAGGATGACCTTGAGCTACTGATCTTCCTGTTCTCTCTTGCGAGTGCTAGAATGATGGTTGTTCATGGGTACCTCAGGTTTCCAAGTTAGTTCTTATGACATCAGTGACAGTGTGTTCCATAGGAAGTGATGCAAGCTGTATTTGATCAAAGGTGGTGTCTGCCAGATTTCTCCACTGTGAAAATACTGTCAGGAATGGTGGCTTACACCTCTAAACCCAGCACTTGGGGTGGCAAAGGCAGGTAGGCAGATCCCTGTGAGTTCAAGGACAGCAGTGGTGTGGGAGGTCCTTCTGTCTATGTGTTGCTTTTATTGGTTAATGAATAAAGAAACTGCTTTGGCCTATAGCAAGGCAGAACTTCGCTAGGCAGAGAAAACTAAACTGAATGCTGAGAAGAAGGCAGAGTCAGTGAGAAGCCATGTAGCCCTGCCAGTGACAGACAGAGATGGAACTTTACCTGGTAAGCCACAGCCATGTGGCGATACACAGATTAATAGAAATGGGTTAAATTAAGATGTAAGAGTTAGCCAATAAGAAGCTAGAGCTAATGGGCCAAGCAGTGGTTTAATTGATACAGTTTCTGTGTGGTTATTTTGGGGCTGAGCAGTCAGGAAGAAACAAGTGGCCTCCTACAACAGATTGGCACCCATTTGTAGACAGAGGTTTCTGTCCTGCCCAGTTCCTCAGTCGTTCAGTCCCAAAGAAACACACAGAGGTCTACATTAATTATAAACTGGTTGGCCTATTACTCAGGCTTCTTATTAACTCTTACATCTTACATTAACCCATAATTCTTGTCTGTGTTAGCCACGTGACTTGGTACCTTTTATCAGCAAGTCAGTCTCATCTTGCTTCCTCTGTATCTGCGTGATGCCTGCAGGCTGACTCTTTCCTCTTCCCAGAATTCTCCTGTTCTCATTGCCCCACCTCTACTTCCTACCTAGCTACTGGATAATCAGCGTTTTCTTAAAATACAAGTAACAAATCTTTACAGGGTACAAGACCATTGTCCCACAGCAAGCCTGGTCTACATAGTGAGTTCCAGGACAACCAGGACTATGTAAAGCGACCCTGTCTAAGGAAAGAGAGGAAAAGTACTTCTTCCTTTTGAAGAAAGGAAGTTTATTGTTGAGATAATAAACAAACACCCTGTGAAATTTTGAGATTTCATGTGAAGCCAGCTTGTAAGCCTAAATGCAATAGTTGTGTCAAATGTGAGCAAAGACCATCAGACCCTCATCTCTGACAGACAAGCCAAGCTTTTGTGGGTGCGGTCCCAGGTTCTGTCACCCCAGAGAGCAGTCCGTACTGCAGTGGAGAAGAGAGAACGGAGATGAAGGGTTAAAAGGTGCTTTCTGGAATGTGTTTCCAATCAGTCCTGTGGCCTTCTGGCTACAATCTGGAGGGTGGTATAGTTGGCCCTCCAAATCAATATGTTTACTCGGCATCCACAGATTTAATCACCTACAAATCAAAAGCATTTGGGAGGGGAAATCAACTATACTAAACCCCCATTCCTTTTTATTATTTATTTTATTTTTTGCTATTCTACCCTAAACAGTACAATGTAGCAACTATTTGCATAACGTTTACATTGTATCAGCTACAGTATACGAGGGGACGCATGTAGGTTATAAGTAAATGCTAAATGCCGTCTTACATAGGGGACATAATGAGGATATGGGTGTAGTGATAGTTTGTTTGTGTTTTAACAAATAAAGCTTGCCTGAAGATCAGAGAGCAGAGCTAAACCACTAGAGGCCAGGCAGTGGTGGCTAACACCTTTATTCCCAGTATTCGGGATTAAAGTGCCACACCTTTAATCCCAGCACTAGGGAGGTGGAGATAGGAGTGATGTAATAAGACAGAGAGAGGACTATAAGGCGGGAGAAGACAAGAGCTCCGTGCAGTCTGGAGATGCAGTCTGAGGACACAGTCCGAGGACAGGATCGCCCTTTGGGTCTGAGGATTCGATAGAGGTAAAAGGTCTCTCTAGTGGCCAGTTGCTCTGCTTCTCTGATCTCTCGGCTTTCACCCCCTAATATCTGATGCCATGTTTTTATTAAAAACAATTAGATTTTATGCTATATATGGGTATCCAGTCTATCCTGACTCAATACAGCTGTACTTTGTACACAACATAGCTTGAGAAGAGAATGTGATCATTGGTTTTGTCATCAGAAATCTGTATCCAGCTGGGTAGGGTAGCATAGGCCTGTGATCCCAGCATTTGGAAAACTGAGGCAGAGAGACCGCATTTTAAGGCCAGACTAGGCTGCACAATCAGATACTGTCTCAAAAGGAAAGAAAACTGTATCCTATAATCAAAATCCCCTGAGCCTTCAGACTGGGGAGTCTGCAACCTCTCAGGATACCCATATGTAGCACGAAACCGTCCCCATCTCTGGGTTCCATCTATGAGAGAGCCACAGCTGCCTCGTCTCGGTTCCTCCCCTCAAGAAAGGGCTCCTGTTCTCGCCAAGAGCAATTTCACTCTTCAGCTCCCTACCCCTGAGCAGGTCTGGAAAGGAGAAACAGAGCTGAAAACAAATAGAACCATTATCCCCAACACCAGCGACTATCAGCCAAGCCAGAAAAGTCACCAACTGGTCTTCCTGATTCCAGAGCTTTTCCACTCATGAGTTTCCCATTTTGCTTTAGGAGATGACGATATCCTGATCCAGAGCGAGGACCAATCAGTCGGTCTCCCACTCCCAATTAAAGAACGCAAAAGTTCAAAGATCCAGAAGGACGTGGACAGCCCCAGGACCTCAGGCTGCAACAGTCCCACAGGTGGCCCAAACGAGAAGGTGCTGCCAGAAAGACCAGGTAATCATTCTGGGGTGTGTGGAAACCATACCCCATTCTTTTCTGTGGCTCCTTCTAGGTTGCCTATCAAAGGGGGAAATGGTGGTATTCCCCTTAGTGAAGTTAATGCTCGGTCATCCCCCTAAAGAGTCTGACTTGTTTGGAGAGTTTGCTGCATCAGTATACACCAGCAACCTGTTTCCTTCTCCGGTAGTCACACATGATGACGTGGTTCCCTGAACTCCTGTGCCGCACATACCTGGGTTCAGTAGACACATACTTAACACCGCTGCAGCCAGAACCCTCCCTGGGCACAGGAACCTGTGGACTTGACAGTAGATAAAGCTTCAGAGGGAACTCATCCTCCAGGCCAGGGCAGACCTGAGGCCTGCTCCCAGGAGGGGAAAGGTGCTGCCTTCCTATTGTAGGGTGAGGCAGGGGAAACCGTGTCCTCGGTGACTGAGCCCCACATAGACACTGCAGTCAAGGAGTGACCGAGTTCAAATGCAACACCACAAGACAGTGCAGGAGCAGCCTGGACAGGGCTTAGAGCATGGCAGTGCAGGAAACAAATGTCGCTAAGAGTCTGCATTACCCAAAAAAAAATCTCAAGAGGTGCCATGCTTGAAACTGGATGCAGCTGAGGGACTGAAGAGTCAGCTCGGCGATTAAGAGCATTTGCTTTTTCAGGGGATTCCTGGCCTGTTCCCAGCACCCAAGTGTCTGTAACTCCAGTTCCAGGGGATCTGAAACCCTCTCCTGGCCTCCTCAGGCACCAGGCATGTACATAGCATATATGCATGCGTGTAGGCAAAACACTCATGCACATAAAAATAAAACCAATAAATAATAAATCTTAATCTGTTTTTTTAAATGCAGCCCACACTCCTCAGAGCCTTCCTTCCCTCCTCCCGCAGAGCTTTGGGCCATATCCTCCTCTAGGGAGCACCAGATGAAGGAGTTAGCCATGTAGAAGGAAGAAGGATCTCTGTTCACAGCACAACTCTCATTGAGGGACCAGGGGAGCTGAGAGCCGCAGGGAGACAACAGCTAGACTCCTATCCTTTCGTGATACTTAGAAACGGGCTGTTTAAATCAACCACTCTCTCCCGGCCCCCATCTGTCTCCCCTTCCACCTCTCATTCTGTCCCCAAAGCATGTGAGGTTGAATTCTCGGAAGCATAAATTAAATATGTAAGTCAGTAACTTCGTTCTGCGCTTTCAGTTTCTTTGTTTAGAGTTGAGGTAGTCACAATCAAACCCCTTCTTTCCCTCTCCTCCTTTCCCCACAAATGCTGTTGAGCCTTTTTTTTCTCAGCTTTATCCCTTTATCCATGATATAAATGGCCCAAGCTTCACTACTGCCCCTTCTTCACCAAGGACCACCCTGGAGGTCAATAGCCCCAGAAAAATTACAGCAGACACACACACACACCTAGTCTTGGAGAGTCTCATAAAGGGAGAACATTATTAGACTATAATAACACAGCCATAACTGAGACAAGGAATCCCAAGTGTATATGCTGGGTGTGAGTGCATGTGTGTGAGTGTATGTATGGTCACGGATCTCAGAGTGTGTGACGGTGTAAGCTAATCTGTCCATATGAGTACATGCATGTGTTGTGTCTAAGCATACGACAGCGCATGTCTGAGGTGCATTCAAGCCTGTGACAGAGTGCATGTTTCAGTGCATTGTGCCCTTGTTGGAATGTGACATGTGTATAAGCTTGCATGCCTGCATGTATGTGGCTGTGCGTATGTATGTTTGTCTTTTGGGAGTATGCACATGTATGCACACGTGTTTGTATCTTTATGCACATTTCTTTGCTTGCAAGTGAATTATGCATTTGCCCCTTGGCATCCCCTCCGGCTGGGGGGCCTGACTTACTGCTGCCTCTTTGCCTTGGAAACAGGAAAAATAAGAGTAATATAATATCAACTATATTTAGTTTTTTGTCCCTGGTTTCTGTCACAGACCTAAAAACCCATGGAGTTTCCAGATAGAAGTCTCTTCTTGCTCTCTGAAAATGATGAAGTTTACACTAAGGGGGTCACATATGCTCAAAGAGGGTACAGAAGCTCCCAGACCCTGCCCTGTGCACCTCATCATCTGGCTATTGGGTTATACTCCTTCTAACACATCAGTAAACCTAGGACCTTCTGTAAATGTCTAAGAAAGTATCAATTTCAAGGAGGAAGCCCCACTCATAACTGGTGAGTTAGCAGCACAGGCCACAAATGGGGGCTTGAGGTTCACAGTTAAAATGAGGAGAGCCCTGTGGATCTAAGCCTTGAACCTGAGGAATCTGGTGATAATTCCAGGCGGCAGTGGCAGTAATGGCCAGAAGTATAGCAAGCGCCATTGTTGTCTGCAAGAGGATTGTTTGATTAGAGGGAAACCTCCACACATCTGGTCACAGCCTTTTTCTGTGCTGGGGCAGAGGAGAAACGTACATTTTCCTTTCAGAGTACGTTTACATAAACCTTGAGTCTTTGCAAGTGACCAAGGGACAGATGACTTCTCGGTGCAGCCTGGGCTGTAATTCCTGTGTAGTCCCAGAGCTCGGTCCTAGCCTGTGATCACACGCGTGCAATGCCACACAAAGGCATCTATGAAAAGGAAAGGCAAAAGCAGGGATCACCAAATCCTGTACCCAGGCTACGCTCAACTGGAGAATGCCCCCGTGGCCTAGCCCTGCTACCTTCATCCAGACTCTGCATGGATGTGGAGTGGCTCGTGGAAGCTCCTTTATCTCCACCTCATCCTGGCCCCCAGAAGACATGGCCTAGACAATAATCCCGCTGTGCCAAGTGCCTCGGTGAACAAGTGGAGAACACACAAGTGTCTCCATTCACAGCCCACCTGGGTTTAGAGCAGCACAGCCAGGCTTGGCCTCCCTCACCTGCAGTAGGGCTAATGCTGTTTGTGCATATGTTTATTTTCAAGAAAACTCCAGAGATCCCACACTGGGACACTTCTTGCTGAGTACGGATGGTGAAAACGTCCGCCAGTCTCTCGCGAGACGCGCAGGAACGGAGGTGCTTTCTCTGGGACAAGGTAAGATAGCACACTCCAGGGCAGGCTTGTGTTCAGAGGGCAATGTTTTACCTTCGGTTTCCAAAGGCTCCCAGTGGCAGCAGAGGCATCGTTAAAAGCAGCAGACAAGAAGCAGCCAGCTTCTCCCACTCCTTTGACACAGAGGTTCCTCTGTGGTCCAGACACAATAACCCTATGTTCAAGGAACAAGTTCCCTCTTGCCAGAACATCTGGAGACAGGAGTTGCAGAGGGATGGCTTGGAAGAATTCTAGTATGCCCAGGCTGATGCCTTGATCAGGATGATAAAGCCCTTTTGGTATTTGCCCAAGCGAAACACGGCCTCTTCTCTTCTTTCCAACCACGCTCCTCAGGTGGAGGTGGCTAATTGGTAATCCAATCAGGCTTCCTTGTTATGTGCATTTCGTTGTGAGTCACCGGGCTCCTGACAGACAGCAGGGCAGTTTCCAAAACCCCTTTTGGCACAGCAACCCTTTGGAAAAGAGACACTGGCTCTGGGCAATAGCCATTTTGCAAAGGAAAAAAAAAAAAGAAATAAGTCAGAGGGTGATGAGTGTTAACCCCCCCCCCCCGAAACCATCAGGATGGGCTTGCATGGGCTGTGCAGCCAGCAGACCCCTTGATGGGGGAGATTAAAAACTGCACGCATGGGTGAATTACGTCACGACTAACTTTAATGAGCAGGTCCTGGATTCGGGGCCAGATTTCCATGGCCCTGGCTTGTCCTCTGTGTAGCCTGGTGATGTTTTCTGTGTTCACGGTTGCTCGCCCAAAATGACAAGACACACACAGAGACGCGCACACGGCGTGGGGGAGGGCAGAGAACCATCCCTTGGCTGTATTTCATAGCCTGTGTCTGGTGCTGCAAGTTCTACCCATTGTAGGGATTTCTGGGAAGTGTGGTGCATTTGCTTCTGAACTCCGCACCCGAGAACTCCCATCAGCATTTGGGTTGTCCCAGAAGATGACTTTTTAAATATCTTGGGCCTGAATCTGTTGGAGCAGGAGTGAGACGGGACAGCTCGGGGGGGGGGAAGGGGCAGCAGGGAAGCAAAGGGGATTTCACCCGGCTCACATTTGTCCACGCTGTTCCAGAAGAAATAATTTCTCTTTGGACAATTCAAAAGCAACCAGCAGAGACAGAAATGGTTTTGGTTTTTATTTGTAGTTGTTGTTTTGTTTTTTTTTTTTTTTTGGCTTTTCGAGACAGGGTTTCACTGTAGTTTTAGAGCCTGTCCTGGAACTAGCTCTTGTAGACCAGGCTGGCCTCGAACTCCCAGAGATCTGCCTGCCTCTGCTTCCCAAGTACTGGGATTAAAGTTGTACGCCACCACCGCCCAGCATGAGGAAATATCTTAAACTCACATCCTCCTCCAAGGATCCAAAGAACAGGTCTACCTTTCTAAGAGATTCCATTAATTGAAGCACGGTTTTTGAGGCTGTACTGATTTTATTTTATGGGTTTCGGATTTTGCCTGCATCCACGTCTGTGCACCATGTGCATGCAGTGCCCTCAGCAGCCAAAAGAGGGAGTCATATCCTCTGGAACTGGCGTTTCAGAAGGCTGTGAGCAACACATGTGCGCTGAGAGTTGAGCCCTGGTCCTCTGGAAGAACAGTCAGTGTTCTTAAATGCTGAACCATCTCTCCAGCCCCTGAAGGGTATTTTTGTTGTTATTCTGAGTTGTTTGTGGATCTGGGGGTTTTGATCTTTAGATCTTTGGTTTGATCTGATAAAGAGTATATTGAAAGCCTTTTCCTTTTGCAAAGGACTTGTTCTACCACAAGAGACTCTGAAAACTCAGCTTTGCTCAGATGCTCAGATCCATCTTTTAAACTTTATTTTACTTACTTATTTTCATTTTGATGCTAGGAATGGAATCCAGTGCCTCCCACATACTAGGCAAGAGATCCACTATTGACTACATCCCAGATGCAATATCCCACATTCCTCCCAGTATCATCTCCCACACATTCCTGCCTGCCCTCCAGTGACCCCTCCATCATCCCGTGATGGCCCAAATGTTCAGTTTCTGGTCTTTTCTCTCCAGGCCTTTTCCTGAGTCACCCCCCCAAATATTTAGACAAGCTCTAAGTTCATCTTTTCTAGGACATTTCCCTGAATAATTTCACCTCCCTCCGTACAACCACCTAGATGCAACCTCACAGCTTTCCTCTCCCTCAGTCCCACCTTTGTGATTTTGGATCTTTCTGCATCTGTTTTCAGTTTGGCTCGCTAATATATGAGTCCTAGGGAAACCTCCTCTCTTTATCCTGTGTCCAAGAAATGCGTGTTGATTGACTGAATATCCCAGGTGCCACACAGGAAAGTTCTTGGGGGAACACAGTTGGGTTTTTTTAATATTAAAAAAAAAATCTTAAGAGGAAATATGATACGTCTGATCTCCCTGAAAACTGTAAGGCTCTGTCAACAAGCATTTGGGAATAAATTCTTAGGCAATTAGATCATGATAGTTTGCTTTCAGACAGCAGAGAGAGATGAACATAACCTTTAAAAGAAGGAGAAGGGGAAAGATGTCAAGACTAGAGCCGTAATTTGGCTCCCTCGCTCATATTGGGCTATATTGCGACACTCCCAGAATTCAAAGGTTTAGGAAAGGAAAAGCTGGCTGGGAAGCGTCTAAGTCAAGCACTGGTTACGCTCTGCTCTCTGGATTGCTTATCCCTGATACAAATCCTCAAATATTCTTCCTGTCCTGCCGCCAGCAGCATGCATTTCCTCTCCAGAGTTCTTCTCTTCACTGGTTTCACACTGAGAGATATTCAAAGACGTCTGTGCCAAGAATTCAAGTTGGATCCTCAGGTTCCATACAAACTTCAATTCCTAATCTCTTTCAGAGTTCTTCATTAGCATTCAGCCTTGTCCTAAATGGAGTTTCAGCCCAAAGTGAGTTTTCCGCTTGCTTGTCTGTTTTACTCTTGCTGTTTTGTTTTGTTGGATAATTTGCAGCCTTACCCCTGAGACCTTTCCTGATGTAGTGGTTTTAACGCATGTCTACAAATTATTTGACATATCTCACCTCAAAAGGATATAGTGGCTGATGCCTAATACTGATGTGGACAGAAGTAAGGTATATGGCTTTGGAAACAGTCTGTCTTAGCCCACTGTCTGTTGCTGTCTTAGTCAGGGGTTGCTGTTGTTGTTGCTGTTGTTGTTGTTGTGTTTTGTGTGGGGTTTTATGTGCGTGTGTTTTGTTGTATTTTGAGGGAGGTTGTTGTTGTTGTTTGGGGGTTTATTTGTTTGTTTGTTTCTGTAAAGAGACACCATGACCACAGCAACTCTTATAAAGAAAGCATGTCATCGAAGTGGCTCACTTACAGTTTCAGAGGTTCAGTCCGTTGTCATCCTGGCAGAGAACATGGTAGCATGCGAGCAGACATGATGTTGGAGGAGTAGCCGAGAGCCCTACATCTTGCAGGAAATTGACTGAGACACTTGGCAGTATCTGAGCATAAGAAACCGCAAAGCCCACTCCCACAGTGACACACTTCCTCCAACAAGGCCATACCCGCTCCAACAAAACCACACCTCTTAACTGTGCCACTCATTCGGAGACTATGAGGGTCAAGTATATTCAAACTACCACATTCCACTCCCTGGCCCCCATACGCTTGTAATAATATCATAATGCAAAACGCACACTTCCAACACATAATGACGCAGGATACACATTACCATTCCAAAACGCAGGGAGAAGGGAGCATAGCGAGGAAATACTGGACCAAAGCGAAACTGGAAAAACAGGCCATTTACATTCAAACTACCACGGTTTCCATAACAGAATATGTGAGACTGAGTGATCTGAAAAGAACAGAGACTTCTTTTGATCCCTTGTTCTGGAGACTGGGGAACCCCGGAGCGCAGCATCAGTATCTGCTTGGTGGGGGTAAGGGGAGCTTAGGAGGAAGGAAAAGTCAAGGGGACGCACGTTAGCACACTTGAGTCCTAAGAACTCACTCTTATGGTGACTGACACTCTCAGGAACTTAAGAATACCCTTCATCGCCTCAGAAGTTAGCCCACCCCGGGGGAGTAAAGCCCAAACACCTCTGACTTCTGGCTGCTCTTCAGTTCCATGGCACAGGGCGGGGATCAAGTTGCAGTGTGGACAGGAGGACATTTTGTAGACGTTTTTGTTGTTAGTTTGGTTTGGTCTGCGTCACTCTGACTGGTCTGGAACTCACACGGTCTTCCTGCCTCGGTCTCCAAGAGGCTAGTTCCGGGCTAGGCCTTTTAGATTACCAAACTCCTCCCTGACACTGTGACTGGAGCCTAATGAGGCCTGTACCAGAATCCCACATTTCTGTCACTCCTAGATTCCCACCCCAAACTTGTGAGAGATAAATAAATTTTATTGTTTTAACTCACTATGTTGAGGGTAGTTCGTGTTGCAGTAACAGATAACTCATCTTCTCCACTGAGCCCTGTGTTGGTGAATATGGGTCTCAGTGTGGTTTCCCTTGAGGGCTTAACTCTTAGCAGCTGTGGTTATAAAGACAGTGCCTAGACATTTAAGGAATGCCTTTCAGCGAGTCTGTGTGAGGAAAAAGAAGACCCCTGAAGTCAATGCCAACAATCTTGGGTCTTATGACCCAATCAATCTACCGGCTATGACTTTGGTGATCATGAATAAATAGTTTCACTCCTTTGGACCTCAGCCTCTTCCTGTGGAAAAAAAGAAAGTTGGTTTGGCGTCCAATCCTCTTAGCACATGTCCCATAGTACAACAGTGCCCGAGAAGCTTATGAACAACCTGCAAAAGGGGAAGGGTTTGAGGGCAAATGTATTTGGAGACTACTTGACTAGAGTTAAGCAGAGTCCTGATGGAGCAGCATTGCCTCCTAGAGATGGGGAGCTACGCCTTTTCCCAAACTTGACTGATCACTGAACGTTCTTTGTTTCTTAGCAAAATGTTGCATGGGTCTAAATCTTTCTTTTGGAGCATCCTTTGGAAAATGCCTAACTGATGGTTTCTAAGGTAC